CTGAGAGAACAGGGGTATTTTACAGTTAGTCATGTGACCCTCCCACCACAGCAGCCTATCACATTTGGCCCTCCAATCTCTTTCATGTCCCCAGAGATTGTTGTTGCTTTGTTGGTTTTCTTGACTCAGGTATATTCTGTTTTCCTGAGCCTGGGAAAAACATCCTGTTTTTCTGATGGTGCCAATATTCAACATTTCTTCAGGCACCACTGGGGTAGTGCTCTCAGTTCAAAACAAGAGTTTTAGCTCAAAACTCTGATTATTAATCACACGGTGTTTTCATGTAGCCTATGCAATGCGTATATGTGCAGATTCCTAAACTAGATATGATGCCCTTCCCTTCCTCTCTAGCCCTTATCACTAACTGATTACAATAGCATAAGATGTGCCAGAGTCAAGACCAGAAAAGGTAGCCATCTGTATCTTAAGGCAGAAAGAAGGAAGTAATTGTGTTAAGAGAAGTTAGAGCACCACAGTAAATGTTGACTATGAAGGCAGGTGCTAACATCATGAGTCAGGGGTGGGAAGAAAATGAATTACTGTAAGACACTAATTATACTCTAGACCAGGAGGGTGGTCTGCCAGTGGTTTCAACTCTTTAAGGAAGTTTTTATTGACAGGCAGTTCTCCAGGGAACTGCCCTCTGACTGCAAGCTTTGCTTCCATTGCAATGAAGATAAAAATATTCTCTTTACTAATCTTTACAAATCCCTCTGCAGACCACATCTGAAAATCTTTTGGAAATTATTAAGGATTATTATTATTCCAGGATTAGGGTTAAAGACTTAAAATGCAAATGTCAATTGAGGTTAAAACATTACAGTTTATTTGGACCAAAGTTACAATCAGACAATGATCTAATAGGTATCAAGTATCTTTCAGTTTTAATTTATGGGACTTTAAGGAAGGGCAGGAGACAGGAGTCTCCAGCAAAAGATGCTTACTTATTGTAAGGGGCAGGACAGGAAGGCCACAGGGCAGGTTTTCCGATCCAGCAGACCAGGTAAAGGAGAGAGGCCTGGAGCCCGCAGTGGCTTTTGCAGGCTTTTATTGGGATTTGCCAGGCACATGGCAGCCAGGGGTGCTGGGGGGCCAGGAGGCAAGTCTTCACTTTTTCTGGGCTCTTGGCCTTCTCTCGTGTTCTCTCTGCTTCTCTGCTGCTTCTTCTACTTGCGTTCCCGGGAAGCCGCCCTTAAAAGCCCAGTCTTAGCCCAGGTGAATCCCATCTACATATGCCCACACCCTACCCCAGGTGCCCGCCATCAGGCATGCATCAGGGACCACAGGGTTTGTCATCTATCCTAATGGTGGGAGGGCAGAAAAGCCTGAGATTTTTTACCTTACCCTACACTTATTAAGGTCCAAGTCTTTTTATTCTTATGTGGATCTAGGAGGAGGAAAAAAATACTCTGTCAGATTTAGGAAATGTATTGAGGTTGTAGGGAGGAAAGTGTTCCTTGACTCCCATTAGGGTGCCTGGCTTGGTCTGAAAATTAAACTAAGATTAACAGGTGTAGGGGTAGGACAGGCCACTGAGCGGGTTTTCTGATCCAGCAGACCGAGTAAAGGAGGAGTCACAGTCCTCAGTGGTTTTTTGTAGGTTTTATATTTACATTTACCAGGCACACAGCAGGCAGGGGTGCTGGGGGGCCGGGAGGCTGGCAGTCCTCCCAGCCCCCAGCAAAGCCTCACTCTATCTGGACTCTACAGCGTTCTCTCCGCTTCTCTTCTTCTCTCGTCTTCTCCTCTGCTTCTCGTTCTGCTTCTGCTGGCATCCCCATGACGCCACCCTTATAAACTCAGTCTCTCAGCCCAGGTGTACCCACTCCAGGTGCCCGCCATCAGACATGCATTCAGGACCACAGGGTTCCCTCCTCTATCCTAATGGAGGGAGGGCAGAAAAGCCTGATACCTTTTCCTTACCCTACAACAGGTTAATCTCAAAAATTTTATTGCATTTTTACATGTTTATGGAGCATTCACAAGAGAATGAAGATGTGAAGAAGTGGCCAGCTCAAGAAACTTTTACAACCTTTTAGATAAAGAAACAGTAAATTTGTGAAGGACTAACAAGACAAAGGTGTTTGTGCTTAGGGTAGTAAATAAAGAAGTAACTGGATAGATCAATGTTAGTTTAACAAGGTTTGCTTTTACAGCCTTCTCACCCCCCCCCCCGCCCAAATCTGATTAAAATAACATAAGATGTGCCAGAGTCAAGGCCAGAAAAGGCAGCCATCCATGTCTTAAGGCAGAAAGAAGGAAGTAATTGTGTTAAGAAAAGTTGAAACACCACAGTTAATGTTGACTGTGGAGACATGTGCTAAGAGGAGTCAGAGTGTGAAGAAAAGTATGTCTTCGGTATAGAGAGGGTGCCCTTCACATAAAGTTGTTTTTTTTTTTAAGATTTATTTATTTATACAAGCACTGGGCACAGTCAGAAGCGCGGGAGGGTGAAGAATTCACCAGAGCGAGAACGGGGAACAGAACAAGCAGAAGGACCGAAGTACACTGCCCTAGGGGAGCAGCGGGCGGCAGGAGAGGTCTGCGCGCCACGTGGGACCCTCACCCAGCGGCAGGGGATTAACTAGCACTGCAGAGGCTGCGGGCAGCTCCGCAACCCAGAGCTCAACCGCTTCGCCACTGGGGAGACCCCACATAAAGTTTTATGACCTATTTCAAGGAAGAAGGATGGGGAGGAGATACTCAGATCACCTTTTTGCTTCTGTATTTTATTATTCTTTCAGTTTAAGATATCGATATGCCAAGGTGTCATATTTTGGGGTTGCATGTCCTGAATTCCATAAAGGTATATCCTGTTTTGGAAGATACACACTTTAAAAAAAAAATTAACTTGAGAATACTGTTCTGAATATGTGACTTTTTAGGGAAAGACCAGCACCCCCCCCCCACACACACCCAGTTTGTTATTTGCTTTTAGCATTTCTTTTAATTTTCAGAACTTTCGTCTGATTCCACTCCCCCAACAAAAAAGCTCCAGGTTAGTGTACATTGCGTGTTCCCCACACTTCTTGCCACTCTTTATTTTTTATTTTTTTTATTTTTTTAAAGATTTATTTATTTATACATACAAGAACTGGGGTATAGGCCAGAGGTGTGTGTGTGTGGGGGGGGTGAGAGGATTCACCAGAGACAGAGTGGGGAACAGAACAGGCAGATCACTGAAACACACCACTGAGAGGAGCAGCGGGGGAGTCAGGAGAGGTCTGCTGCTCCATGTGGGTAGCTCCCTGGCCAGGATTAGAACTTGAGCTGCAGTGGCTGCGGATAGCTTCATAGGTTGCATCTTAACCCCTTGTGCCACCAGGGAAGCCCGCCACTGTTTTTATTTGTTATTATGTGTTTACAAGTCTCTCTGAGTTGCAGGGACTATTCAATTTTGTTCAGTTTAGTTCACAGTTCCTAGCTCTCTATTTCTGACATACAGTAGATGATGAATAAATATTGTTGAAGAGCATCCCTGGTGGCACAGGTGGTTGAGCACAGCGCTATGAAGCTGTCTGCAGCCTCTGCAGTGCTGGTTCGATCCCCCGCCGGCCCCGGAGCAACCCACATGGCAGCAGACCTCTCCTGTCTCGCCGGGGGATCCCCTCAGCAGTGTATTTAGTCAGTCTGCCTGTTCTGTTCTCCGCTCTGTCTCTGGTGAATCCTCTCACCCTCCTGCGCCTCTGGCCTATACCTCAGTTCTTGTATAAATAAAATAAATCTTTAAAAAATTAATAAAAATTAAAATTAAAAAATACTGTTGAATAAGTAAATGATAATATTGAAATTTCGTGTTTATTTGATCTAGTTAATAACTACAAGTAGTCTACTGAATGTCAATTAGCAGAGAACAAAGTCCACTTCTGCTCTTTAAACATTTTTAGGAGACATTGTACGCCTGATTAAGGAGAAAAGTTCAGACTATTAAAAAATTCTATTAGAACATGCTCTTATTAAATATATAGTGTAACAACATGTTTCTACGTAAATTTTACAATTTCTTTGTTCTAATGCATAATTTAAAACTGACACTGCTCTATTTTTCTAAGGGCATTTGCATTAAATATGAAAAATATAATACTCTGAAGAGCTATTTTGAAATGATTTATTTCTATTTCTACTATATAAAAAGCTGATTTTCTTTTCGTGGAATGAAATCATTCAGAGTTATTTTGGGGTTTTTATGTGCTATGCTAGTAATGTATGAAAAGCTCTTTTCTAGGAGAATAAATACAAACCTGCATAAATATAAATGTACCTAGGGCTGCCTTATTCTGAAGTAGAGTTCTATAGCAGGGAAAACTTGAGGTTCTCTAGCAAAAGACGCATTTAAGAGATTCTCTTTTTTCCTCTGCTCTCTAGAGGCTTAAACTTCTTCCTCAATCCATGGACTTTATGTGAAAATTGGCTGATCATTTCTATTTGCAATGGGCTTTGGCAGCGAGAGCTTCCTTAGGTCAATCACTGCTTCCCTAGATTTATAAACTGGATCTGTACTTATAAACATAAGCTGTTTTGTATATCCTATGCAGAACTTGTGGCGAAAGTGACACAGGATACTGTCACTTAGGAATTCCTTTTCCTTCCTTTTCAAAGAAACAGCCACGAAGCCCTAAGAACACAACACGCAGAAGGAGAATTGGTGACTATAAAAACCAGTTCAATTTTCCCATTGCATGGAAGGGAAGAAACGGACAACTTGAGAAGTTTTTCTGCGGCGTCGTGTCCCAACGAGAGTTTCGAAGCTGTCCGCGGGGCCCTGGCCGACCCGCACCCGGCAGGACAACAGGCCGAAACCTCGACGCCCGCGGCGCCCACGGCGGACGCGCGCGGGCAGTGACCCCCGCCCGGGGCGGGTAACCAGAGACCACACTTCCCAGAGTGCTGTGCGCCGGCCGCGCGCGCGCCCCTCGCCCCGCCCCTTCGCTCTGGAGGCGAAGGCGAGAGGACGCCGGGCGCCCGCCGAAGACCGGCGGGGTCGCGCAGGAGGGCGCGCGCCCGTCCGATGCTCGCGCGGGGCTGGTGGGGCGCAGCTTGCGGCGCACGGACTCCGCTTGCTCCATTGTGGCCGCAGCCTTGGAGAGGTCAGGAGGAGCCGAGCGCAGCGACGAGCGGAGAACCAGGTAGCCGGCCCCTCCTCTCGGCCCCCTTCTTTGTGCGGCGCGGGTGGACCGCGCCCCAAATCCCGGGCCCCAAGTCCCAGCGCCTCGGTGCTCGCGCTCCTGGCGCCGGGAAAGTGCAGCCCTGCGAGCCGTGAGCGAAAACTACAGCTGAGTGGGGTTGGGGCCCGTGCAGCCGCGGCACGGTGTCTGTCGCCCCCCGTCGGCGGGAGGAACGGGGTCGCTTTCCCGAAGGGAGCCCCAGCCTCGGGCAGCCCCTGGATCCTCTCGTCTCCGTCTTTCCAAGAAGAACTGGGCTCGGGTGCCGCGCGGGGAAGGCGCCGGCTCGGGGGCCGGAGGCGGGCGGGGGCGCTGGAGCCGCTTATTGCCTGGAGGGGACTCGCGGGTTTTGGGGTGAGCGGGCCGGGCGCGTCTAGCTCGCCTGGGGCCGGGGCGCTCGTAGCGGCTCTGGACTTGCCTTCTGGGGCTCGCTGACCCACCCCCTCCCGGGCTTTTTTCCGCGGCGCTGGAGACCGCACCTAATCGTCGCTCCGGGTGCGACTCCAGAAACTGCAGCTCCTTCAGACCTGCAGCTGCTCCGCGGAGTTGTCCTCCTGCCGCCGCGCAGCTCTGCCCCCCGCTCTTGCGGGTTTTTCTGGCTGATTTCTTCAGGGAGGTCAGTTTGCCGGCGTAGTGGGGCTTGGCTAGCTCGGGGCTCCTCCTTCACTGGATTTGCACGGTCCTGCATTTGGGCGCCTGGGTTCGGAAAGCTTTTTCTTTATTTTCCCACTGGGAAATGTTTCATGCAATGCCTTTTCGTCGAAAATGGAACTTAGTATCTATTTTAATGGTGTAACTCTTTGTGGACTTTTACCTTATGCTGAGTTTGCCACTCTAGGGGCATTCCTTGGGAAAAGGTTCTTGAAGGAACCTGGACTGACGCAGGTATCTTATCTTGCCTGCTGCTGGTGGCACTTTTTCTTTCTTTGCATTTTCTCACATGTAAGTGGAAAATTGTTCTACTCTTGGCGTTCTTTATTCTGGTGCATTGAGGAAATCTTTTTTTTTTTTTTGTGGTTTTTTTTTTTTTTTTTTTTTTTTTGCATACAAGAACTGGGGTATAGGCCAGTTGTGGGGGTGAGAGGACTCACCAGAGATAAAGTGGGGAACAGGCAGACCGACTGAAGACACTGCTGAGGGGAGCAGCAGGCGAGCCAGGAGAGGTCTGCCGCGCCATGTGGGTTGCTCCCTGGCCGGGGATCGAACTCGTGCTGCAGTGTCTGCGGGTAGCTTCATAGTGCTGTGCTTAACCCCTTGCGCCAGGGAGGCCCAAGGAAATGTTCTTCTAACTCCCTGGCGAGACCTAGACCTCCTCCCCCTCCCTCTAACCCCAGCCCGCGCTTTCAACGGTACACTTGGATAAGTAGTCAGGCCCTCAGCTTTCTTACGATGATTTTTTTCCTATTTGCTACTTTTTGTGCTCCTTCGTATCGGCACCCCCCTTTTAGTTTTTCAGCCCATGACTCTCCTCAAACTTATAGTCAGCATACTGTACTCAACTAAATTCACTTAGCATCATCATGTTACAATTTAAAACTGCTATTTTTGTTTTAAAATGAGATTACTGTTATTTATATGATGGCAATATATTCTGTCATATTGCACGTTATTAACACAGTAAGGATACTTTTTAAAAACAGTATTTCTTCCTTTGTTAGCAGAGAATAACGTACGTGAATTTTGATGCACCTCCCCCACCTTCAAAGTGTATTTTATTTTTAGAGCAGTTTTAGATCACAGCAAAACTTACTGGAAGGTACAAAGATTTTTGCATATGCCCCTTCCTGTCCCGCATATGCAAAGCCTCCTCCACTCTCAAACTTCCCACGCATAAGTGATACATGTTTACCATCCATGAAGCCACAACTTCGTTATCACCCAAAGTGTACAGTTTGTTTATGTTAGAGTACATTGTATGAGTTTAGACACGTGACATTGTAAAAAAAAAATCAAGAACTTAATACGTTTTACAGAACTGAAATGAGTATTGCCATTTTAAAAAGATTAAAAGGAATATTTTGGGCATCCTAAAATTTAAAAAGATTTTTTTTGTTACGATATTTAAACTTCGGTGCCTTGTGTTTGGATATTTACACATTTCAATTTTATATTAGGAAATAGAGATGAGGGAGAAGAAATGCTTAATAAAATAACAAAATGTCATTTTTCAATCTCAAAACTCATCAGTTGGACCATTTCATCATTTTTCCAAAAAACCTGTTCTTGTTAAACAATGAAGCAAGAAGAAACAGCATTTACAATACATTAATTTTTTCTTTACTAATGTCAGGATACCTACAATAAATTGTGATCTATAAGGCTTCTCCCCTCTCTGAGGAACTTTTGTAGAAGTGCTAGGGTATAATAATGTACTCAACCTCAGTCCCGGATTTGGATAAATCTGGCTTAGAATCCTAGCTCTTGGATTTGTTGAGTGTGTTAACATGCAAGCTAATTTCTTTTTCTTTTATTGTTAACAGTTTATTTTTTTTAAATATTAAAATAACATGGGACAGAATTGTATGGATGAGGCAGTCAACAGCTGCCTCATAAAGGATAAGAAAAATTCTGCTGTGATATTAGTAAAGTTAAAGGAGAAAATTTACATGATAAGAGGCACCATTTCCCCAGAAAATAATACCTCTTGGAATTTCCTGAATGAGTGGGATTAGCAATCTAAATAAATCATGTTTCAAAAGGTAAGAGCAACAGATAAAATTTAAAGGAATAATTAAAATAACATCTGCAAGACTGAACAATTCTTGAACTCATTAAAACTACAAGAGAACAATTCTTTATGAATCTCATAAGGGACTGGGATAGAGTCTATATTATGCTGTTACAGACACACAAGTACAGACCCTTACGCACACACACCACACATGGTCACTATGGACCACACTACTATTGGGGGGAAGGACTCTGCCAATGAAATGGTAGGTAAACACATCGTTTTCTGGTTAAGAGAAAGAAAAAGTAGCTCTCCCCATTCTTTACTCTATAAGATGAATTTCCCTAGAAAGAATCCAGTGAAAATGGCTGCAGTTACAACAGGAAGTGAAGGAAGCAGTTGAGCTTGACCCACGTTTATGTAAATATGCTACCTTTCTGAGCCTGGAGCCTTCATCTGTCAGGTGCCTTTTTCTTCTGATAGTTTCATTTCCCCTGGAAGTCTTTTACACTTCTCTGTGAGTTTCCTATGGCAAGTTCTTTTCTGAAATTGTTTCATTAGCTGTAAAAGAGTGATAGGAATAGTCATATAGTATTGTAATCATTTTATAAACTGTAATTGAATATAATATTCATTGATATCACTAGTCACATGCTGTATTGTAAAATGCTGCCAGTACAGTTTATTTTCTGATGAATAGTGCTTCTGTAAATACCATCAAACTTTTTTTTTTTTTTTAAAGGACTGTCTGTACAAGAGGTCATTGTCTGGCTATGAATAGTTTAGTTGGTTCTTGTGAGTCAGAGATAAAATTATGGAAGAGAGTCAAAAGTTTTACTTCATCTCTCAGGTTCGTAACCTGGATCTGTATATGGGCATGCTCATAAATGGCCTTCCAAGAGTCTGTAAACTGCATATTGGTACTTCTCTAGAGGAGAAGACCCATAGCTTTCAACAAAATGATGTTCAGAGGGATTCGTGACTATCTTTTCCTGAGGAAATAAGAACCATCAGCTTCAGTTACTGCGTAATTTTTTTCATTATACATTTTGCAGGTTATTTTTAACATCAGCTTTTTGAGAAAGGAAGTGATGATTTTTGAAGCACTGCTTTTTTCTTTCAAAACTAGAGATTGATATTATGATGTATTTATTACATTCATACAATTAATAGTGCTGCTTTTTGTGCCTGGAGATGATACCACTGATTGATTCATTATCATTTGGCAGTTATAGTCCACTCCTCCCTTTCCCCTCAGCTTCGATGTGCAATAGAATATATTGAGTGGCACCGTGATGCAATCCAGCATGTTAGAATATAATTTTGAAATAATAAAAGTTCATTTGTTTTGTTTATTCTAAAATTTGGACATATTTTCTTTTCTCAACAAAATGCCAGGTGCTAAAGGAAATTATGTATTTTATCTTTCAAATCAGGGAATATTTACATAGTTCATTTGTTGAGTGTATAGTTATATTATTTTCTAATTGGTGATTAGATACAACTTTCAGTACTGCCTATTTGGAAAGAACATCAATATGTACTTTTCAAGGAATTTGTATTCTTTTATGTAGATTAGATTATAATTTTAATTTGTGACATTTAAAATTAATCTTATTTGCGTTTTGTGAGTTGTAGAACCAGGTCGGAATCCTAAATTTGAATTCATGCTTGGAGTGGAGTTTGGAAGTAAACTGTAGCAAACTGCTCTATTTTTCTTAGTAGTGCTAGGTTGCTGGGGCTATAAGATTTAATAGCATTGAGCCAAATTTTGTTTCTCGGTCAGTTACTAGTAAGAACATTCACAAAGTCTTGAAAACTATGAGGTGGATCAAGTGATGCTATACAAACTGAGTAATAAATCTGACCACTGGAATAATGTTTTTTTATATTTTTTCCTTGAGACTCTTTAATATTAGTCAGTATATTCATTTGAAATCTTAATGCTTTTCAGAGTTCAAGGTTCTAAATCATTTTGCTTTAAAGAAACAGGAACTGGTTCTCCAGATTTACTCTTTAAAAAAATAGTCTGAGAAGTCTATATCAATCTCAAAGATCAATTAGAGATGCATACCAGAATTTGCATTCATGTATAAAAGATACATCACTCTGCTGCACCTTTGGTTATTTTAATGCAGAGAATTGAATGTAATGTATCATAAATATCAACTCTAGTTCTGAAAGAAAAACAAGGACTCACGGTGCTTCAAAAATCATCTCTTCACTTCCTTTATCAATAAAAAACTGGTCTTAATTACTTTAACAATGAAAATTTGAGTTATATTAATTGGATATGGAAAAGGGTACTTATTTCAGCAAAAATTTTTTTTTAAGATTTATTTATTCATGCATACAAGAGCTGGGGTGTAGGCCAGTGCTGTATGGGGAAGTGGTGGTGGTGAGAGGATTCACCAGAAACAGAGTGGGGAGCAGAACAGGCAGATCCTCTGAAAAACACTGCTGAGGGGAGCAGCGGGCAAGACAGGGGAGGTCTGCTTGCATGTGGGTTAGCTCCCTGGCTGGGTGTCAAACTGGTGGTTCAGTGGCTACCAATAGCTTCATAGTGCTGAGACTTAACCCCTAGCACCACCAAAATTTTTTCAGCAAAATTTTTTTCAGCAAAAATTTTACCTGTGGGAGTGCTGCTATTTTATGAAAATCAGTGCTTTAATGTGCATTATCTTATTCTTGAAAAAATGTTTTTTAAAAATTCAAGAGCAATGTCTGTATTACTACTCTTATTTTAGTTTTCATGAAGTCAATGATAATTACCATTTAAAGATACAGTCAGTGCCATCTTTGGCCTAGAGGTACTGTTAGGGGGAAAGGATGTCCTGAGCAAACTCCATACAGGCTTTGTGGACTCCACCTTGCTCCATCAAGACACTGGGAACTACAAATCCCATGATCACCAAAGGGAAGGTTGCGAGGACCTGAGGGTGGAGTTAAGCAGCTATGTTCTCTGTTTGAGTTTTTAACTGGCCATGCGGCCGGGAGTCTCTCTCTTGGCCACACCGCGTGCTTGGTTTTTCAGCAGCTCAGTGGGCATTGGGATTCCCGGTCAGCGGATCAGGTAGGATGCATTATGAACTTATCTCCCTCTTTTTCTCCCTGAGTTATTCATTTCCCCTTGTAAATAAACCTTTTATCAACCTTTTGTGTGTGTCTGCTGTTTAGCATTAATAAGTCCCCTTTAAGCGTGTGGGTGAGGACCCACAGTCAGGCAACCTGTTTTATATCGGAGTTGCCCTGTAACAGTACCTATAATGAGTCCAACGTTGTCACTTAATATCTGTGACCTTGGGTAGGTTTCTTAACTTCTCTGAGTCTCATCATGCACAGTGGTAAATAATAGGTTTGATACCTCTTTGGATTGTCCTGAGAATTGAAATGAATCAATGTGAAGTACCTAACTTAAATAGTAACAATTACTTAATATAACACATGTGCCAGACAATTAACTCATTTAATCCAAATAACAAAGTAATAACAAAGTTGGTGCGGTTATTTTTTTCATTTTTATATGTAAACTGAGGCTAATGACAAGTTGTGTAACTTAACAAAGGTCATACAGGTAGCTAATAAGTAGATAGTAAGCACCCAATGCTGACTGTAGTCATTAAATAAGATGGCAGATGGCAGGGTGATATAGTCAATCCTCATTTTTTTTTTTTAAGATTTTTTTATCCCTGCAAGAGCTGGGTCACAGGTGAGAGGTGTGGCAGGTGAGAGGATTCACCAGAGACAGAGTGGGGAGCAGAACAGGCAGACTGACTGAAATACACTGCTGAGGGAGCAGCGGGTGAGTCAGGAAAGGTTTGCTATGCCATGTGGGTAGCTCCCTGGCCGTTTGCAGAGGCTGTATATAGCTTCATAGTGCTGTGCTTAACCCTTTGTGCCACCAGGGAGGCCCAGTCCTCATCTTTTATTATAGTTAAAAGTGCATCTTAATGTAAATCATAAATCATGTAAATTATATTTTATTTCTTTGTTGGGAAAAATGTTGTTTGGAGAATTATGTTCCAGACCAAGGGCTCAGGGTCACATAATTTATAGAAGTAATAAAGTCCACTTACTGAATGGTTAGTGTTAGGGCTAAGTACTATACATATGTTAATTCATGTAACCTTCACAACAACTGCAAGAGAAAACTGAGACTCAGGCAAAAAATTACTGACTTCTCACCTATACCAAACCTGTTCTTGTTGCATCAAGCAACACCACAATGATAAAGATACGGGAGTCATAGAGCAGGCTACGTAATGCAGGATGCTGCTTGAGAGCAAGATCCTGGCCGTTTTTATTGATAGAATAATGATACAGCATCAACTCCATGGGTCAGGAGGACAAGGAGAAAAGGATGGGTGAAACGAAGGAATGTCATCTAGGGCTTGGGGTGGGGGACATGAGTCTGCTGACCATGTTATCGGCTTGATGACCAAGTGTTGCAATGGAAACAAGACCCCCGGCCATGGTCCTAATCTTTTCAACAAGGCATTCCACTGGTCAGCGTCTGGGGTCCCTTGCCATACGTCGGTCCTCGGCCCCCTGGGGCGTTCCTGGTCGTACCTCTTGATGCACACCCTTCCCAGGTGATCACGCTTTATGCTCTTGATTGATGTGAAAAGCACCTTGTAAGGTTTGGCTCCTATGGCTGATTGACTGGTTCTAAAGGGCAGTTCTGACCTTGTATAGGAATGCAGAACTGCAGGTAACAATAATGGTGGCCCAACAGGCCGCTTAAGTTTAGCAGACCCACAGGTTCTTTTATAGATGAAGAAACTGAGATTTGAAGAGATTAGGTAACTTCCCAGTGATACAGCTAGTTAACAGTTCTGCTATATTGAGGTGATGTGAAATGATTTGAACTTGGGAATGATTACTGGCAGCATGAAAAAGAGTGTATTGTTGAGAAATGAGGCTGTTAAGAGGCTGTCACAATATAGCTGTCAGATGATGGAACTTATGACTAAAAGGGTGTGGTTGGAGAAGCAGAGCCAACTAAATGAGAGGAATTTAGGAAGTAGAATGTATGAACATTTAGTAGAATGTATAAAACTTGGTTAGAGTTAAATAGAGTAGAATGGGAACTTTGAGTACATGTGAATTAAGACATTCAGTGGGGGAAGCCTTCTTGATCACCCAAATGTAGGTTCACTCATTATATTCCATATATCTCTTCTGTTGCTTTTACCTTATTATCATCTGTTTATGGGCCCATCTAGATTACTTTATTCAAGCCCCTTAATGGAAGGAATTATCTTTCATTCAACTCCTTGTGGGGGGGGTATTTTATAAAACTTAAAAATTAGGTTATTTTGTGCATCCATTTTTTTAAAGGAGAATAAGAAAGATCAATTAGTTGAGGTATTCTTAAATATTTCACATTGAGAGTCTGACTGTACTGAAGCAATTTTGTCTCATAATCATGTTTTTCCATACGGTATGCTCTCCTAATTCATGTAGAAGGTTTATGATGCATCCTTTGTTAAGTGTGCTCTATCACCTTCTGAGGGATTTCTTTTAAGCTGCCAGCAGCAGTCTTCAAAATTTGATGCCAAGTGTTTACTTGTTTGGTGTGTTATACATATCCCTTTTGCCTTTTTTGAATAACAACACACAATACAGCCTTATCAATTATGGATATCTGCCTCTTGAGTTCTTTAAAGTAGTGCTTCTCAAACTCTCTGTGGCAGAAGAACAGTTTATGAAACTATTTTTTATAAAAGAAGAAAATGAGCTCCTCCCTGGTGGCGCAGGAGGTTGAGTGCAGTGCTGTGAAGCTGTCCGCATCCTCTGCAGTGTGGGTTCAATCCTGGGCCTGCCGGGGAGATAACCACATGGCATGGTAGACCTCTCCTGTCTCGCCTACTGCTCCCCTCAACAGTGTATTTCAGTCAGTCTGCCTGTTGTGTTACCTGCTCTGTCTCTGGTGAATCCTCTCACCCTCCGGCACATCGGGCCTGTACCCCGGTTCTTGTATGTATAAATAAATCTTTAAAAAAAAGAATAAAATGAATTACTTTAAAAATGAAATGAAAAAAAAGTCATACAAAATGCAAACTTCAATTTTTTTAATTAGAGTCATTGAGCAAAATTATTGTCAAATACAACTTTGTTATAAGTGTTTCTAAACACTCTGTGTCCATACTTACTTTATTTTGGACCTGTAAAAAAGTTTGTGAACCAGACTCAACTTAGAATAACACTGCTATAAAACACTTGTTGGTGCTTTGCATGTTCACCTTTGAATTTCCAGAATCTGCAGTATATGTGGTGACCAATAAAGACAAACATTATTTCCCCTTACCACTGATAATATTTCTATCTTTTTATTTTCATTTCTTGAAATTTAGTTATAAAATTATGTGATTAATAGGTATCCTTACTATATTTGTATGTGTGTGTTGGTTACATGTAAAAAATGAAAGCAAGTTCCCAAACTCTTAGGAGAGTCTTGACTGTTTATTTAATAGTCAATGGCAGTCCTTCCAGTAAGCATGCTTCTAAGCCTCTGAAAGTCTACCAACCTCTGAACTCCATCCCTCCTCCCAAACTTGCTGTAAGATTAAATGTGCTGCTACTCAGAGATAATGTACCTAATGCTGTTGGACTGGGGATAATGTGCCTAATGCTGTGGGAGGGGTAGCCACTACTGAACTACTAATAGAGCTACAATTCACCAAAACTGATCATAATTTACCGTGGGCTAACAGATTCCTCGTGGTTCTCACATCACCATCTTCTAAGAATTTTCAAATTAAATTTTAAAGGAGTTCCTTCACTGATTAAAAAAATAATGAACTGAAGTAACTTTATGTGACACTTAGCAGAAAAGTTAGTTATCTCTCTATTGATAATTTGTGTGGTTATTTGATACATAGATTATTGGTACACTACAATTACTAATGATAGCTTTTTCTTTTGGTTTGTTTTTATGTGTGATTCGTGGTTGATTTTCCAATCTTAGCGAACTGGACAATGTCAGTTACATGTTTTTTGAAAACTGAAGTTTAGTGGGCTGCAGCTACTTTCTGCCTTCTCTATACCCTTGACAAAAGAATACATGGGATGTTTGAGAAGAGAATTGTATTAAAAGAAGACTGTTTGCAAATGGCTTCAGAATCTATGAATGTAAAACAAGCTAGGAATCACTTCACAAAAGGGAAAAGGCAACAGCATCAGCAGATTAAAAACAGATCTTCAATCAGTGATGGTGATGGAGAAGACTCCTTTACCTTTGAAGCTAATGAAGCTTGGAAAGATTTTCATGGATCTCTTCTTCGGTTTTATGAAAATGGAGAACTCTGCGATGTCACACTAAAGGCAAGACTCTTTTTTTCTTAGTTTTCTCAGTCTCTTCGGTGAATTATGAAAAATGAGGGTTTGTAAATCACACAAAGCAAATTTTTAGTGCTGCACTTATTTGCTTTAGTCAGAATTTTAGTATCCTTTTTTATTGAGAGAAAGGTACCTAGGGAAGAGTAGATAAGACAACTTGATTGTACTAATTAAATGATATTCATGATGTCTAACTTATGAGAATTCAGGAACCTAAAACTAAAATAAGATAAAATGAGATCGTTATTATTAGTAAAATTAATAAATCACTGTTGACCAGAGAAGCTTTTAACTTGTGAATTTAAAATTCTTCAAGTATTGATTTACTCCTGATACTGGTTAGAAGTCACCTGCACTAATGTTTTACTGTATTTTTCTATTCTGGAAATTTATTCTGTTTAAGTCTGTAGTCTGTGGGATCACTGCCTCAAAAAACAGTTTTAATACGATTGGAAATAAGTGATAATGCAGTATATAAGTGTTTGTGTTCCAGTTGTTTCTTATTACTCATTTTTTTAAAGCTTTGTTTATTTATGCATACAAAAGCTGGGGTGCAGGCCAGAGGTGTGTGGGATGGAGGGCTGATGAGAAGATTCATCAGATACAGAGTGGGGAACAGAATAGGCAGATTGACTGAAGTACACTGCTGAGGGGAGCAGCGGGTGAGACAGGAGAGGTCTGCTGCACCATGTGGGTAGCTCCCTGGCTGGGGATGGACACTACTCCTGCAGTCACTGCTGATAGCTTTATAGTGCTGAGACTTCACCCCTGTGCCACCACTCTCCTCTGCAGCTTCTTCTCTTTAGCTCCACCCTCCTTTGGGTGGGGCAGGGAACCTGGAACTTCCTCTTTTCCTGGGGACCACCCTGTTAGAATTTAGGAATAAGAAACAATTTACTAATTTAAAGGGACTATATTTTTATTTTCTCCACTGGAAAATTGTGATAGTGGTTAAGTTTTTGTAAGAAATAAGTGAATCGATAAATAGAGGTCCTTGTGCTAGAGCTTGGTGCATAACAAATAACTCTAATTATTGGAATCTTTATGTTTACTGCCATTGTTCCAAAATGTGGTGTTGTCCTAAGACCCAATTCTAAGGGGGGGTGTAAGTGCTGAGACCCACATCCACAAGCCATCCTCAAGCTTTTAAAAGGGCGTCTGAGAAGTCAACTCATTTTTGAGTAGCAGGTTCCACAAGTTAGAAGCTAGTCTTTCCCATGACCACCCTCCACTTCAAACACTGGCCACAAGCCCCAGGCAGCCTGTGCTTCTTACCTACTGACTGCATATTAGAGGTCCCAGGACCTCCTCCTCAGACTGCAGGTGCCCTTTGCAAGCCTAGATTACTAACTGTGCTTCCACAGAGTGGCTATAAATCAGGTGCTCCTGGGATACCCTCCTTAGGTTTGATTAATGAGCTACAATGCACATGAATTCAGGAAACCTGTTTACTCACTATTCACTCATTTATTACAAAGGATCCTAAGGACACGAATCAACCAGATGGAAGAGCTGCATAGGGCAAGGTATGGGCAAAGGCACAACACTTCTTGCTGTCTTTCCAGATGTGCCATCCTGCCCCAAATGTTCACCAGTTCATCAACCCTGAAGCTCTCTTTTGGGTTTTTATGGAGACCTGATTATGTAGGCAGGGTTACTCCTTGGCCATTGACGACTGACCTCAACATCCAGCCCCTCTCTCCTCCCCACAGGTCCGAGGGGTGGGACTGCAAGTTCCAACCCCCTATTCTTCGTGGTTCTCCCCTCACCCCTGCTTTTTTCCAAACATTGTCTTTATTAACATAGCAAGAGATGTGTTTATCACTCACCACACTTAGGAAATTCCACAGGGAACTGTGAGCCAAAGTGTGCATGAAGACCAAATATGTATGAGAAATAACTAAGTGACCAACATACATATTTCTTATAAATTTATATTATCATGGAAATATAAGAAATAATTCAGTTCCTACTCAGTAGAAAGAAGTACAGTTTCATTTTTTGGTATGTGTTACTGGATTTATTCAACATTTTTTGAAATTTCAGAATTTGTTGCAGACCTAAACCATGTAGGATTGTGGATAATTTATAATGCTCTCTGCAAAGTAAACTTCATTTTTTTTTATATTCAATTAACCTTTAGGGTATTTTTTTTTTTTTATAGAGGCATGTTTTATTTATTTGTTTGTTTGTTTGTTTTGTTTATATATGCACTGGGTACAGTCAGAAGTGCGGGAGGGTGAGAGAATTCACCAGAGTCAGAGCGGGGAGCAGAACAGGCAGAAGGACCGAAGTACACTGCTGAGGGGAGCAGCGGGCGGCAGGAGAGGTCTGCGCGCCATGTGGGACCCTCCTCCGGTGGCCAGGGAGCAGCCGGGAATCGAACCGGCGCCGCAGACGCTGCGGGCAGCTTCGCAACCCAACGCTCAACCGCTGCACCACTGGGGAGGCCCCCTTTAGGGTATTCTTGATATAAATTCATCTTTTACTATTTTTCCTGTAATCATTGTTTTTAAGACATTTTAAAAAGGAAATTTTTGGTATTTTATTAATATAAAAGGTTATTAACTTATTTTGAATTTCAAGGTGAACACCTATAGTAGGAACAAATGATTTAACAAATATTTACTAGTACATGAAAAGTATAAATAAATATGAATAATGTACTTGCCTTGAGGGAGTTTGAACTTTAGCTAGAGAGAGGTACAAATGAAGTAAGTATAATGCAATTTAGTGATTGCCATTTTTTTGTGGTATATTTGTGGAAGCATAGGCGCGGAGAGGATCTGAAAATTATGTCTGAGAAGATTATAAAGACTTCACATAGGAGATTTATGTATTACCTTGAGGTCATTCCAGGAAGAAGTAGAATTTAGTTATATATTACTGTGTTTATTAGTGAACATGTTTATAAATAGTGGCAGCTCTAAAATTATGGGAGAAGTTTAAGGGCAACAATTTAGTTGAGAAAAGGTAGGGGAAATTTGTCTTGAAAAGAGTATGGAATACCACTCAGAATGCTTATATTATATGTTACAGATCAGCAAGCAAAGTATTTACAAAGATGTTTTTGTTTATGTAGTCTGAAGAAATGGCATTGTCCTTATAAAGAGATCACAATTAATTTTACTAGGACAACTCCCTACATCACCTCTTCATGTCACCATTGATTGTTTTATTATACGATTGACTTCATTTTGGATGGCGGTGCATGTTTCTATGTTGTTTTTTTTTTTTTTTTTTAAACAAATACAGGATTCTAAAAAAAGTTCAAGGCTCTAAGTATTTTTTTGATCATTTGCTGTCAAAATTTCTAACCAATCAGGTAGGAATAAGGTTCTGAAAAATTACAGGGAAACAAAATATGTAAGTTGTATTGTAATAAAATGCTTTCAAGAAGTAGAAATGATAAAATTATTATCCTTATAAATTTAACAGTTGACTGAGCAGAACGTAGACATAATCTAATAAAAGAAATGATTAGGGAAAAAGTGATCCTATATTTAACACAGCAGCAATCTGTGTTGGGAAGTCTGATCACCTGTATTTTCTCCAGTCAACTAGTAAGTAAATCATTACATTTTTTGCATGTTGCTCACACAACAGGGTATTTAAATATTTGTCTCTTTAGATCATTATTTATTTGACCTTCCCAAGGTCTAATTGAATTCTTATTTCCAGGCCTCCCTGGTGGCTTAGGGGTTAAATCTCCATGCTACCACTGGGACAGTCTGAATTTGGTCCCCCTTCCAGGGCTCTAACCCACATGGTGCAGCAGACCTCTCCTGTTTCACCTGCTGCTCCCCTCAGCAGTGTATTTCAGTAGATCTGCCTGTTCTGCTCCCCACTCTGTCTCTGGTGAATCTTCTCACACACACACATCCCATACCTCTGTCCTACAACCCAGTTCCTCCATGCAAAAATAAACAAAATCTTTATTATTTCCATTATATACAGTTTTAAAAAAGGATACAATAAGATTGGTTAAGATTGTAGAAAAGGACCTCCCTGGTGGCGCAAGTTATTAAGTCTCGGCACTATCAAGCTATCAGCATCACTGCAGTATGAGTTCGAACCCCAATCCCTGGCCTGGGAGCTAACCCACATGGTGCAGCAGACCTCTCCTGTCTCGCCCGCTGCTCCCCTCAGCAGTGTATTTCAGTCAACCGGCCTTTTCTGCTCCCCACTCTGTCTTTGGTGAATCCTCTCACCCCGTACCTCTGGTCTGTACCCCAGTTCTTGGATGTAAAAATACATAAAATACATCCCAAAAAAAAGAAGATTGCAGAACAGTTAGTGTGGCTAGACACTGCGTGGTAATTCACTGTAAGCCAAGACATGTTAAGTCTTAATCTGTCTAACATCATCTTTACCTTGACAATATGACATATTTTTGGCTATACAAACTTATTACAATTGGTAGATTATTGAAAAGAGCGGCTGGCTAATTGAGTTAAGACAGCAAAATTACAAGGGATTCAAGTGAAAAATTAGAATACAGTTCATATAAAGAGAATTGAATATATAAGGTGGGTTTTTTCCCCCTCCAGTCTTTATTTCCCTTCCACTATTTGTGTTCTGAACTTTATTTCATTGTAATTCACAATCACCTGCTTGAGTTATTGTTAAAATGCAAAATTATAAGCATTTCAATCTGATGTGTTGGAATGACTTAAAAAGTTTTAAGTAGTTTTTAAATGATTTTTTTTTTTATAGAGGCATGCTTTATTTATTTATTTATTTATTTTGTTTTTTTGGTTGGTTGGTTGGTTATACATGCACTGGGTACAGTCAGAAGCGTGGGAGGGTGAGAGAATTCACCAGAGCCAGAGCAGGGAGCAGAGCAGGCAGAAGGACTGCTGAGGGGAGCAGCGGGCGGCAGGAGAGGTCTGCGCACCATGTGGGACCCTCCTCTGGTGGCCGCAGAGGCCGCGGGCAGCTTTGCAACCCAGCGCTCAACCGCTGTGCCACCGGAGAGGCCCTTGCCGTGTCTTTTTCCCTGAGCATTTTGAATTAGTCATAGGCTCACTGATCTAATAAAAATTACAAATTAGAAAATTCACTACTATCAAGGACACACTGTATATAATTTTAAAAATGTAATGTCTGATATTTTGTAGTTTGTGTTTTTTTCACCTAACTATAAGCACCTAATCTTTAAACTTTGATTTCAATTTCTGATGAAATATCTTTGGTAACTGATAATTATTTTTATGTACCAGAGAAGAAAAATGTAGAAATAGATTTTCAAAAATAAAATGAAACTACATAGTGTCAAAGGAAAATTAATGTGTGAAAAAAAGAAAATGTTTTATCTTCCTATTTCATACATACGGCTCAAAGATCTTTTTTGTGTGTCTCTGTAAAAGATCTGGCATGTAGGCCACAGGTGCGGGGCGTAAGGATTCACCAGACACAAAATGGGGAGCAGAACGGGCAGATTTACTGAAATACACTGCTAAGGGTAGCAGCAGGCGAGACTGGAGAGGTCTCCTGCACCATATGTGGGTTAGCTCCTTGTCTGGGGATCGAACTTAGGCTGTAGTGATGATAGCACTGAGACTTAACCCCTACACCAACAGGGAGGCCCTCAAAGATCTTTTTTGGAGTAAGATTACATGTGTATCTGTGTGCATTTATATCTATGTTTATTTGAATCCAGAAAATAGACTTTGGAGGGGCAGCACCTTATTATAAACAACATGAAAATAATTTGTAGATCATTGATGTGTATAGCTTGCATAAGAATGCAGTCTTAAAATAATGCTTATATAAAAACACTGTAATGCTATTATGTAATGGTGTTTTGGCAAGTTCTTTAATTGACCATGTATTTTAAAATGTGCAATATCAGATTTCAGATCCCATTTTAGATGTAATGTGAAAATATGTCAAGGTTTCTTCCGTAGTCTAGGTAACACATTGAGTCTGTATAGACTCAAAGTTCTGATATGTGAATTCTTATAAAAACATAAGAAACCAAAATCATCTTGTACTTGTTGAAATAAATGACATTCATTCTTTCTCCAATTGCTGGGGAAAGATTGGGAGAGGATTTTATAAGCAAAATCATTTATGCATTGTAACAATCCTCAGCCCCTTTCTTTAGAAATTCTCATTTTAAAATTAGTTCCCAAACAAATGTAATCAGAACACTATATGAAAACAAGAAAATTGCTAAAACACTGTTCTCCTTTTATTTGTACTCATTGTTTATTTAATAACATGCTGAGAGAACTGGATAACTTCTGTATTAAAAAGAAGATCTCTCTACTCAGCACCCAAAATTTCCAGATGGAAATAAAGATTAAGTGTAAAATATAAAACCATAAATGTACTAAAAAAAATATCTGAAGTAAATATTTGTGGAATATTAGTGATTCCTATTTCATGCATAGTATCTAAGACAAAAATTAAAGAAAATGACGGATTTGAGTGTATACAAATCTGTAGAGGGCAAATAAGATTAAAAGGCACACCATAAAAAGGGAAACTTAGGGGCCTCCCTGGTGGCGCAAGGGTTAAGATGCAAACTATGAAGCTGTCTGCAGCTACTGCAGCATGAGTTTGATCCCTGGCCAGGGAGCTACCCACATGGCGCAGCAGACCTCTCCTGTCTCGCCCGCTGCTCCCCTCAGCAGTGTATTTCATCCGATCTGCCTGTTGTGTTCCCCACTCTGTCTCTGGTGAATCCTCTCACCCTTCACACCTCTGACCTGTACCTCAGTTCTTGTATGCATAAATAAATAAATCTTTAAAAAAAAAAGGGAAATTTAAAGCAATATGACAAAGGGCTATAAAATGTTTGCTTTCTTACAAGTAAATAAGAAAAAAGGCCACAGTTCATAGGTAATATACAAATAGCCCCAAATTTATAAATGATTCAGACATATTAAAAAAGAAAGATAAAACAAGAAGCTAATAATATTTTCATTCATCATATTGGTAGATATTTCTTAACACCCAATAAGGCACAGATACTGTTATATAGGTCAGAAATGGACAATTTAGCATTGTGTACCCAAAGTGTACCTATTGTTTGAAGCAGCATTTTTTTTTAGGAATTTATCAGTAGTAAATAATGTGTACATGAACAAAGATTCAGTGAACATAAATTTCACTTCTGTGTCTTCTGTAATGACAAACTATTGGAAGCAATTAATTAATTCAATAATCAAGATAGTTAGATTTCAGTGTTTTTAGTTCCTTTCATGTAAAATGTATCATTTCAAAATAATTTAAATAGGAAATGAAAAAGATAGTTATGCTCATAATATTGTGAAATAATGATTTATTAACTGTGCTGTTTTCTCACTAATGAATTGTGGGTAATAGTAGTACAGACTCGGGAATATTGGAATACTTGAATTGACATATAAAACACACTTGGAATAGTGTCTGACATGATGACTGTGGTTAGCAGTATTGTATATTTGAAAGTTGCTGAGAAATTAGATCTTCAAAGTTCTTATCACAAGGAAAGAAAAAAATTGTAATTGTGTGTGGTGATATTTACTGACCTTATTGTGGTAAACATGTCATAATAAATGCAATATATAAATCATGTTGTTTATCCTAATGTTACACAATCTCGTATGCCAATTTTATCAATAAAACTAGAAACAAGTTTAAAAAAAAAAAGAAGGGATTCATAGACCAAAATAAAGACTAGTGCCTGACACATACCAAGTTCTAGATGATGTTTGCTGTTGTTTTTATTAATTCACATAATCCTCCTGAACTATGCGATAATATAGAAATCATAGTTTACCATATGCCACACACATACACATACATTATGATACATATATAAAAGATAAGCGGCTAATTTGGAAGAAGAAAATTGCTTGACTTCAAGGAACTGGCCTACTTTGAAAGTAATTGTCCAAGAGAGTACATTGTTAAAAAAAATACACTTAATTTGTCTGGGGTTTTTGTCCCTGCTAAAGTACATGCTCCATGCTGATATGAAACTACTTTTGATATTAACCTGGGTCTCCTTTTTTTGTTTGTTTTAAACAGGTTGGCTCAAAGCTCATCTCTTGTCACAAACTGGTATTAGCGTGTGTTATTCCCTACTTCAAAGCCATGTTTCTCTCTGAAATGGCTGAAGCCAAGCAAACACTGATTGAGATCAGGGACTTTGATGGTGATGCTATAGAAGATTTGGTCAAGTTTGTCTATTCTTCACGACTGACTTTGACTGTTGACAATGTCCAGCCTCTCTTATATGCAGCCTGTATTCTACAGGTTGAACTGGTGGCTAGAGCTTGTTGTGAATACATGAAATTGCATTTTCATCCCTCCAATTGCCTGGCAGTAAGAGCTTTTGCAGAAAGTCATAATCGAATAGACTTAATGGACATGGCAGATCAGTATGCCTGTGAGCATTTTACTGAAGTTGTGGAATGCGAAGACTTTGTAAGTGTGTCCCCCCAGCATCTACACAAGCTTTTATCCTCAAGTGATCTAAATATTGAGAATGAAAAGCAGGTGTATAGTGCAGCCATCAAGTGGCTTCTTGCCAATCCTCAGCATCATTCCAAGTGGTTGGATGAAACACTTGCCCAGGTAGGGGCTGAAATAAGGTTGCACATAGAAATCAAATAATATGTACGCTGTTCATCATTTATCATGAGAAGTGTAGATTAACCAAAGAAATGTAGAGATCATTGGTATAATACAGTGTGAAAATAACTTTGACTCTTATTTCCTATATATTTACTGTACCATTTAAGGATAAATCTGAATTTGTTTCATTTAAATTAGAAATATTCTCTGCTTTATTACCTGATTATTTAAAATACTCCTTTTGGATTGCAATAATGAATATTTATGCTAGTACAAAATGGTTCTGATGTAAAAACTCTAAATTATAACTTGTTTTTTAATGAAGTTTCTAAGATTTACTGAAAATATGTTGCTAATAAAAGTACACTTATTTCTAATGTATATGAATTTATTGTGGAAAGAACTACAAGGCATCACTTTCCATTTTCTTCCCTTACTATAATTTTACTTTTGTAATGTCAGAACAGTATCTCTTTTTAACATTTATTTATATTTACTGTTAATGGAGTTGCTTGGCTAGGAAGATAATAAATAGACCTTAGAATTACTTTGAAAATAAGTTTATCAAGAAAAACAGATTTTTTTAATCTTCCTGTGTGTTTGTGTGCTTATAACTTGAAATTGTGTTAGCTGTTTTGATCACCCCCTTTAATCCACTAGAAAACCAGTGCATCCTTGAGAGTGGTGAGTGCCTCTGCTGAAGAAGAATATTCCTGAGTTAGTGTATAATCTTCCAAGATAACTGATTCAAAGGAAAGGACACTTACTGGTTTTAGATATGAATGTTTGTGTGTTTAACAAACAAATCACATTTCCATATGTTAAGCCTTATGCTTTAAGAAGCAAAAGAACAAAGAATGGTGTTTTTGTTTTGATCATACCCTTCGCAACAAGGATTCTGCGATTATGATGACAGTTGGCTTATTTTATAGTCTACTTAAATCTGTATTTAAAATGGGAGATATATTTAACATATAATCTGATTTTGTTTGTGCTGATGAATACTGGAAATTGCTTTTGAGCTTAACACATTGAATTTCATTCACATGTTAGAAAGACCTTATGAAGAAAATGACTTTTAAAAAGAGAACATTTTGCAGAGAAAGTTGAGAGTGAGCTATCCAGTTACAACTTAAATTTTATATCCACAACTATTCATGATCGTAGGTTCGTTTGCCGCTGTTGCCAGTTGATTTTCTTATGGGTGTCGTGGCAAAGGAACAGATTGTCAAGCAAAATCTAAAATGTAGAGATTTATTGGATGAAGCAAGAAATTACCACCTTCATTTGAGTAGCAGAGCAGTACCTGACTTTGAATACTCCATTCGGACTACCCCAAGGAAGCATACTGCTGGTAATTAAATCACTCATTTTATCAACTCTACTGGAAGGATCTTTATTGTACTTGGGGGGGTCATATGTAGCTAAACTTATTAGTATCTGATTGTCTTAAAGTAATCATTGGTAAATAATGCTATATATTTTTTTATATACATAATTTTTCTGTACATGATTCAGATACTTTTACTAGTAAGCCAAGTTTTAAAACAACCATAACAAATTTAAGATACTATGAAGAGCCTGCTGAAATATCTTCTTTTGAGGTCTTCCTGATTCTTCTAAGCAGATTTATAGTTCCTTTGTTATTTGTGCTTTTGGGGGTACTTTGTTTGCATTTGTTTTATTTTACTGTTTTCATATTGAAATTTATTTGATATGTTTTGAGATCTTCAGACACAGGTAACTATCTTATTTAGGTTTGTATCCTTAGTGCCAAGAATGGAACTTTATATATATTACATATTTAAATATTCATTTTTGCATTCTATCAAAGCAAAAAAAGGCACTAAACACATGTAAATAATATTTGTATAATACCATATTAGACTCTTAGAATCTAAAGCTATTATATTTGAGGAGGCATGTAGTTTTACATTTATGACTACAATTTAAGACTTTATATTTTCCCAATAAAATAATTTGTGTTCACTTATATTGCTCTTTACAGATATACAGAATATATTTGAGGGATGAGGGAAAGTAAGTAGTCTAGGAATTCAAGAAGTGGTACTCTTAACAGACTTCCTCTACATTTGCTGCTACCTGATATAGTTATCTGATAAAGGGATCTATGGAATAACCTAAAAATAACAACAGAATACAATACTTGATTATGAATAGTGGGATTTTATCTAAGTAATATAAGTTTGAATGTCATAGATCTTCTCATCAAGAAATTGTTCTCTAAGTAGTTTAATGTGAGTAAGACTGCTTATTTATCTTGGCTGTATTTTGTAGGTTAATATCAAAAATTTAAGTTTTTTGAAGTGTACAAAACCTTTGTAAGTTTTGAATCTTGTTTCAGGAAGTTGAGGAAATTATTCTGAAAATGTATTCAGTGTGGCAAGCTATTTTAACAGATGTAAAAGAATTTAAGTAGAAAATGTTTGTTAGGTGTCTTGTGATTGTGGTAAATGTTGGCTTAGTATGTCCATTAAGTAGCTAACAAATACATCCTGAAAATGCATTCAACATAGCCAACTGTTCTAACAAATGTAGAGAAGATAAATAGGAAGTCAAGGTATTTAATGAAGTTCTTCACATTCGGATTGCAATTCAAACAGTATCTTGGCAGCCTAGTTGTGTTCCTGTGTGCCATATATAAACCCTCAGATTCATGATCTCTCGCATGATGGCAAGAAATTTATGAAGTAGATTTTAGTGAAGGATTCAATCCTTACTTTGAAATAGGCAATATTCCATTTTATGAATGAGATTAAGAATCAGAGAAGGTAAATGTAAGCCCAAGGTCACACAGAAGAGCAGAGGACTTGCATCCTAATCTTTGTATATCAATTTGTAATTCCATACCATGTTCCTGTGTAACCTATATTGCTGAAATATTAGTGTCCACTTAAAAAAATCTAATTGGTGATTGGGGTTACATTCTGGAATTATAATTCCAGCTTTGACATTAACCATCTGTAATTTGGGGCAGATTTCTTAATCTTGGAAGACCTCAGTTGTTTATAAACAAGATTGACTCTCCCAGCTTTAAATTTCTCTGACTTAAAAGAATGAATTATTGTTGGAAAAGATTGCACAAACAATCTGATCACTCATTTATGCAACCATTAAGTGCCTACCAAATGCTAGGTTCTGGGTAAGGTATTGGAAATGCAAGCACAAATAAATACAGCCAGCCCTATGTTGAGAGAACTTTTAGTATGATCTAGGGAAAAAGACGTGTGAATAAATATGCAATAAAATATCACAGGTACATTGATATAATCACAGGGGACAGTGGGAAGCAAAAAGAAAAAGTACTTATTTTTTACTTTGGAAGGGTAAGAAAAAGTTTATAGAGGAAGTAAACCTCATAGTTTTGAATAATAAATAGATTTTTTCCTGGGTGTCCAAGTGAGCTGTATTCATTTCATTTTACATTTATTGAATGTCTACTACATGCCAGGCACCGTGCTTGTCCTTATTAGTTCATAAATGCTTAACACACAGACTTCAATTAGATTTTGGTTAGTTGTCAGCTCTGTCAATGGATCATTTCAATACTGTGTGTTGCTATTGGAACAAAGAGGGATTAGCATTAATGTTGCAGGAACATGACATTTGAGAGAGAGAAGATCAGGGGAGGCACTGCAAAGCCCTTATGCTTTGCCAAAATTTTATCTTGTAGGGCATTGTTTCTCAAAGTATGAGGAAAATGTTGACCCCCGACCAGTAGTATCAGCATTCACTTGAGAACTTTCTAGAAATAGAAATTTTTTGTACCCAAACCTACTGAATTAAAGATTTTGGGATCAGGTCCATCAATAATGTGTTTTATGTCTTCCAGCTTATTCTGAACTACACTAAAGTTTGAATTTTAAAAAATGTGGAAAGATCTATATTACATAAAAAGTTTGCCATTTTAACTATTTTTAAATGTACAGTTCAGTGGTTCAGTGAAGTTTTTAAGAACTGATATAAGTTATAGAAAGCTGCTGAAAAGAGCTTTCTAATTAGATTGCTCTTTTGATAATCTGAAAGCAACAAGATGACTAATGAGAAAGGATAGGATTTTTTAATAATTGTGTATTAGCTGATGAGAACCTAAACTAAGGCAGTGTGGTATTCAGACTAGAGAGAGAGGGGAGGACATGTTAGGGAAGGAAGAGGTTGTGTAGATACAGAGTAAGGGAGATCCTTTTAAACATGGTGGCTGTGAGACATCAAGTGGAAATGTGGCTTGGAGTTGTAGATTGGAAGACTAATTATGATACAGGTGGAATTTAAAATAAAGGAACGAACTTTTCCTATGTGATATGTGAGAAGTAATATGTAATATGTGAGAAGTAGGGTAAGGTTGAAACATTGAAAACATAGGTGAGAAATAACTGGAGGTAAAAGGAGACTGATATTATGGAAATGAAGAGTTAAAGAGTTTCAAAAAAAAAAAAAACAGGGTCCTCAACATGTTTAATGTTGCATTTGTGTTCGGTAAGAAATTAAGAGTTTACTGAATTTTGTTAGGACCATAGCAAGAATAATTTTACAGAATTGGCATAACCCATATTGTAGAATGTTAGCAAGCAGAGATTGGTGATGTATCTTATTTGAGAAATTCAAATGAGGGAATGAAATGAAAAATAGATGTTTAGTAACATACTGACATTGAATGGTATTTGATATTTATACAGCTCACTTCCTTCTGCCATTAAAATTTTTATTTCCTAAATATTTTTTCCATACTAATTAAAAAATACATAGAGAACTATGATTTTTGTCTCTATTTTGTGTCTTTACCTGTAGGTGTGCTATTTTGTGTTGGTGGTCGGGGTGGATCTGGTGACCCATTTCGCAGTATTGAATGCTATTCTGTCAACAAAAACAGTTGGTTCTTTGGACCAGAGATGAATAGTCGAAGGCGACATGTGGGTGTAATTTCTGTGGAAGGTGGGTCTACTGTTGTCTTAAATCACATCAGGTGATCATAATGCTCTTTTTGAATATTTCAACCTTGAGAATTTCTTTAAGAAAATTGCTAAATATTTGGGTAGTGATTATTTACTTGCATAGTTGTGCAGTGCCCCTCAGATGCTTGCATATAGGTGCTTAACAGGAGGTGAATATCAGAGAAAAGGGAGTTAAAGAGGTAAAATGAATTATCTCAGTTATATTGGAAGAAGCAAACTGAAGAAAAATGATTATTGAACCCAAATAATAAGTATGTATCCTTTTTTTATGCCTGTTCGTTCAATGAGAATTTTCTTTACTGGTTGCTAAAAATTGCAGATAAATTGCAATTGTTAGGGCATTTTTTAGGCTTTTCTGATTCTAAAAATAAAAATTTTGGTGGGAAGAAATGTAAATGCTTAAAAAAAATAAAAATGATCTGTAACCCAGTAGTCACAGTTAACATTTTACTATGTAATCGTCTTAATTTTACTTTGTGTATTTTTATTTCACTTAGGAAAAGATTGCTCACACTGTATCAAAGGCTTTATATTTTCTTAAATTTACATTAAGGGCATTTTTTTCCATTTTATTAAACATTTTTTGAAAGCATAATTAGTGATTTCATCTATTAAGTAATAAAAAGTTGAGAAATCTCAGGGAAAGATAGTGCTTAAGCATTTAAATACTCTATGTAAAATAGTAGGTCCAAGGGATTTTTAATAAGTGGAAGCATATATTTATTTTCATTTGACTTCTGAACTGACATTGTACATAATGTTGAACAGAAGAGTAATTGCTGAAAATTAATTTGTCATACTATTACATATTGCTTATATAAATATTTATATATAAACTGTTTGGAATAAAATGAAACACCTCTCTATTTGACAGGTAAAGTGTATGCAGTGGGTGGACATGATGGAAATGAACACTTAGGTAGTATGGAGATGTTTGATCCTCTCACTAATAAATGGATGATGAAAGCATCAATGAACACAAAGAGGTAGATGAACATGGAAATTTCTTTTGATTTGATGTTAGAAAATAAAGTTTCCTATTATTCAGAGGGCTGATACTTTTTATGTTTTCAGAAGCTAAGTACCTACTTAAGCACATTTTGTAAAATGTTCAGTGTTATGTTTTGTTACAACTTTTTATATTTTTTTAAGAATTAAAAAGATCATCATGTTTTTGAGTATGATAATGATTCTCATAGTTTTCATCTAGAGCAGATTTTTAAGAACTTTTTATTTTGAAATAGTTCTAGATTTTCCCCAAAATTGCAAAAAAAGAACAAAAAAAAGAGCAAAAAATAGAGGTCCTATATACCATTGGTTCTCAACTAAAGATAATTTTACTCCCTCTGTGGAACATTTGGCAATGTCTGAAGATATTTTTGGTTGTCAAAATTTGGGAGCGAGGAGTTTGGGAAGTTGCTACTGACACATAGTTGGGAGAGTATAAGGGTGCTGTTAAAAATCCTATAATGTGTAGGAAACCACCCACAGCAGAGAATTTCCAGTTCTGTTCTCAACAGTGCTTAGGTACAGAAATCCTTTGCTGTATTCTTCACCCAGCTCCCATTTTACACATCATAGTGATACAATTATTGAAACTAGGAAATTAATACTTATACAGTGTTATCAATTAGTCTGGAGGCCTTATTGAACTTTTACCAATTTTTCCATGCATTGTTACTAGAGTAATTGGCATATTCTTATCTAATTGTATTGGCCAATAATTTAATAGATACTACTAGCAGAGATAGTGTTTTTGTAATGTTCCTGATGACATTGGAAATGTCTAGTGTTTCCTTATTAAATAAGATACCAACTTTAGGACTAAGGTGTAGTTCAATTTTTTAAGAAATTATCCCTCAGTTTCTGTTTTCATTATTTTTGTTATTATTAGCATTAATATTTAGAATTATCACCTATGGTAAATTGTGGTATATGTTGGTAAATGCAGCAGTCTGCTGAAGATTTTTATTTTTATTGTTCTCTGGTTCATAGCCCTTTGTATCTTTTATTTTTCTTAATTGAGTTAACATTAGTTTACATCATTGTTGCCATAATTAAAGCATATGACCCCCCCCTCAGGTATTGTTGCCATAGTGTGCCCACCACCAAAGAACCTCTAGTCCGTCACTATAGACCCTTCTGCTCCCCTCCTTATTTGTTCTACTCTCCCTCCCTTACTCCCTCCCCTTTCCCCCATTCTGCAGTAAGATTTCAAGTTGGGATAAAGAAGAGAGGACATAATTGAGAGATAGTGCAAAAGTGTAGAGCAGGATTTTATGCTAATTAGATGTGGGAGGTAGAGAGAAAAATGAGGCTGTTCAAGGATCATCCTTCCATTTCTGACTTAACTGGATATGGATTGTGGTATGGTTTTCTGAATTGGGAAAAACAAGTTGTCTCAGAATAAATTTTTTGTTTTGTGATGGCTGAATTTCTATTGCTTTGTAACCAGTTACATAAACTCAACAGCTTAAAATAACATCCATTTGTATGTTTTTATTGTGAAATGATTACCACAATAATCTAATATAAATCACCTTACATAGTTATAAAATCTTTTTCTTTTTTTTTTTTTTAAAGTCAAACTACATTTATTTTTTTTTTTTTTTATAGAGGCATGTTTTATTTATTTATTTGGTTGGTTGGTTGGTTGGTTTATACAAGCACTGGGTACAGTCAGAAGTGCGGGAGGGTGAGAGAATTCACCAGAGCCAGAGCGGGGAGCAGAATAGGCAGAAGGACCGAAGTACACTGCTGAGGGGAGCAGCGGGCGGCAGGAGAGGTCTGCGCGCCATGTGGGACCCTCCTCCGGTGGCCGGGGATCAGCCGGGGATTGAACTGGCGCCGCAGAGGCCGCGGGCAGATTCGCAACCCAGCGCTCAACCGCTGCGCCACCGGGGAGGCCCTAAAATCTTTTTCTTACCATCAGAACTTTTAAGATCTCCTCTCAGCAACTTTGAAATATGTAATACAGTAGTATCAACTAGAGTTGTCATGCTATACTTTATATCTCCCATGATTTATTTATTTTAGAAGTCCAGTTGGTTTGACTGGGCTTTCCACTTAGGATCTCACAAGGCTAAAATCAAGGTGTTGGCTGGGCTGGGCCCTTATCTGTAGGCTGTGAGGAAGAAACTGTTCCCAGCATCATTTACGTTATTGGTAGAATTTAGTGATTATAAGACTGAGTTTCTCATGTTTACTGTAAGCTAGATGTCACTCTCAGTTCCTACAGGCCGCTCTCAGTGCCTTCCGAGGTAGACTCCTCTATTTTCAGACAAGCTACAGTGTGCAGTATCCACCTCTGAGTTTCTGACTCTTCTCCTGATACAGGTTTTCCCTGGTAACTGAAAGTAAAACATTCTATTTGGTATGATTTGATAGGTTAATTTTGGGTCTGGGACTGTTTAACAATTATGTCATATAAATTAATGGTAATAGGGCCTCCCTGGTGACGCAAGGGATTAAGACAACCTATGAAGCTGTCCACAATCATTGCAGCACGGGTTTAATCCCTGGCCAGGGAGGTGACCCACATGGCGCAGCAGACCTCTCCTGACTTGCCCGCTGCTCCCCTCAGCAGTGTATTTCAGTCAGTCTGCCTATTCTGTTCCCCGCTCTGTCTCTCACCCACCACACCTCTGGCCTGTACCCCAGTTCTTGTATGCATAAATAAATCTTTAAAAAATTAATTAATTAATGATAATAGCATTCTGAGACCCAAAAAATATCCTACCAAATCATACCAGTAGAACTTAGTACTTCAGTATATGGGAGAAACCTGTACCAGCTAGAGAAGACTCTACTTCTATAAGTCTTGTGTCATGGACAGATGTTTGCCCAGATAACCACTCTTTTACCATTAGATGTAGCAAAGCCATGGAAATTAAACCTGAAGGTGAATGTAATGGTTGGGTGGGTACACCTTAAACTTCTGCCTCAGAGAAGTAGGTAGAGAGTTTAATTTCATATTAAAGTTGAGACTGAAGAGAAAGCAAGACAGATTTGAAATTGAAGTTGGATATATGTCTGGAAATATGAAAATCCATGGAAAGAATGAAACTGCCTAGGGAGAGAGAGTATAAAATGCTGGGAAACTTTAAGGAACATAATTAATGATGAAGTAGAGAAAGCATTGATAAAGGAAACTGAGAAACACCAGCCAGAGATACAAGCGTGATCTCAAAATACAGTATCATGAAAATCAAGAGAAGAATTTTAAGGAATAGGAAATTGTCAGTAATATCATATGTGCTTGTGGTTTGGGATGTAGAGGTGGTGAGGAATTATTAGGTATACTTAATTCTGCCATAATGTAACACCCTTATGTTCTAGAGTGCACACATGTGTTCACACACCTGAAGAATCTTTATAAACACAGTATTTTGTAAGTCATTGCTTTATACTCAAGAGAAAGGAAGTTTAAAAGACCAAAAGAAATAATATTTTTAAGAATTGTTTCCTAGGATACTCTTAGAATCTCAGAACAGCAGCTCTTATAATAATAATAGGTAATACATAGTATTAAATATTGGACGTCACTATTCTAAGTGTTTATAGTAACTCATTAATGTCAACTGTATCTACTCTTGCAAGTGAATTATAGATGAAGAAGCAAGATAGTAGAAGTTTATAAAATAGACAACCTTATCCAAAGTACATACCAAGGTAGTGACAGAGAAGATTATAGAATAAACTTTGATTTTTAAGAAATTGATACAATTTTTCCCAGTCGTCATTACAATGAAATCTTCCTTTCCAAAAAGAGAAATAAATGTTCTTGAGAAGTAAAGCAATGTGATATAAAACTTACAATGTAAAAATTATGTTTCTTTGTGTCTTACAACAAAACATGTTCTGCAATTACAATAATTTAGAAATAAAAATTGACTTCTTTGTAGTACACCACTGCTATCAGTTCATTAACCTCTCAATTATGCAGCTGTGTGTTTTACTAATTGAATGTTTTGGACTCTGTTAATAATATTTTGTTGGATTTTTATTATTTCATTTGACTGAAGTAATCTATGTAGGCCTTGTATTATAAACTACACAAGGCTCACACAGTTGCAAAATTTGGCAACCCTGTAGCCATCTATTCAGAAGCTTTGATAATTCTAAAAATAATTGGAAATCATCACTTTGAAGCATAATGTGATAAATCACTTGAATTAGCGCAATTTTTTTTGCTGCTTTTATTCTGGGAACAAACCCAGATGTTAAAGTATGTTTTATTGTCTTTGCAGGCGAGGGATTGCCTTGGCCTCCTTAGGTGGCCCAATTTATGCAATTGGAGGATTAGATGACAATACTTGCTTCAACGATGTGGAAAGATATGATATAGAATCTGATCAGTGGAGTACAGTGGCACCAATGAACACTCCCCGTGGAGGAGTTGGCTCTGTGGCTCTTGTAGTAAGTTATGTGGTAATTTGTTCATTATTTCACTGTATTACATCCCTAACTGAAAATTCATATCTCCAGTATGCCAATACTGATTGCACACCATATTTCATGAAATACTGCTTTCTTGCACATTCTGCAGTATTGGGACAATATATACAAATACATACAATACAGTATTGGGACAATATATACAGATCAACTCAAAATCTAATGTCATGTTTGTTTGTTTTTAGAACCATGTTTATGCAGTAGGTGGCAATGATGGAGTAGCTTCTTTATCTAGTGTGGAAAGGTATGATCCACATCTGGATAAGTGGATAGAAGTTAAAGAAATGGGTCAACGAAGAGCAGGCAATGGAGTTAGTGAGCTTCATGGTTGCTTGTATGTTGTTGGTAAGTGGATGGTATTTCTCTGGTTTATTATGGGAGTACATGTCCACACAATGACAGTGACGTAAAACAGCACAATGAAAATCATATTTCCTTTAGGCTCAAGTGGAAACAGTCTTAAGATTTGCTTTTGAGTTTTTAAGGTTCACATTATTTCTTTAATTAATTAAATTTTTTTCCTTACATCATTGTAATTCCCGTAGTTCTCCCACCACTGTATCACCCATGAACCGTCATCAAAGTCCCTTGAGTTCAACCCTTCCCTCTTTTGCTCTTCTCACATTATTTTTTAATGTAAGGGCACAAATTGAAATTGCTTTGCTAAAATCTTTAGATGATTTAAGACATATTTTTCTCACGTTCATTTCAAGAGAACTATTGACTAAACAAACATCAATACTTCATATGCATAGTGGCTGTTGGCATCTTTATATTGCTTTTTGACTTACTGAGTTGTATACTCAAAGGGGACCATAGAGCATTGTTTTCTCAAACTTTAATATGCATATGAACAATCTGAAAATACTGGTAAATGCAAGAGGGGAGCCCAGATTCTGTGTTTCAGACAGCTCCCACGTAATAATGGGTGCTACCTGTGTCCACTCAACACACTTCCAGTAACAAGACATTAATGGACTATCAAATAGGAATAATAATAATGCCTATCTTTCAGAATTGTTTTAAGAATTAGAGATAATATATGATAAGCATCTCAAACCACATCTTGTACTTTATAGTTGCCCAGTTAAAGGGTTGCAGTGTTGCAACCCTCTTTCAGTGTTCCTCTGCTTTTGCAGAAGAGGAAATTAGTTCCTGGAGGTTGTCATTAGCATATGTCCCCTTTACTTAAAGTTGATGTAAATTGGTGTTACCTAACTTACAGTTTGCAGTAAGAGTGGGGTATTGTTAGCATTTAAAGATCTTCAAATGATAGAAGAATGCCTTTGTATTGAGGAAGAAGAGAAATAACATAATGTAGCTTTTTATCTTGTTGATCATCACAGCAGTTATGTAAGGTAGTCAGAGATAGTGAATAATTTACTCATAGTCGCATGTCTAAACATGTTGCAAGACTGGAATTTTAACTGGGTTCTGTGAGAGACCAGAAACCTTACAGTAAACTACTTTTCCTAGCTCCCTATCTAGCATGGACATTGACACATATATATCAGCAGAGTATCATTTTTACTGTTATTTTTTAATTTGGAGGGCCTTTATAGTTAAAACAGAAACCTTCCTCTTGGTCACTTAAATGTATTTAAAACAGGTAGAACTGATTGGAATAAGGTCAAAGGCATCTCTGCACAAGTCTAGCAAGCTAATTGCATCTGCCTTTTCTATTCCTTTTCTTTGAATTCTTTATTATAAATTTACGTGTTTTACCTAGGGAAATGACAGGTAGACAGTGGATAAGAAAACTACAAAAAAGGTAACTATTGAAAACTTGATCTTTTATATTAGCATGAGCTATAAGTAAAATTAAAACCTTTATTTTAATGAAAAAAAGGGTTTTGTCATGGTTATTGTAGTGATGATACTACTATGTACGTATGTCAAAACTCACGGAATTTTTGGTAAATTATACCTTAGTTAGGTTGATTTCATTAAACTAAACCCATTAAAGAAGTTGATTTATTTTTTTACTGACATTGTTTACAAATAGACTGCTTATAATATCAGCACTTTTTCTTAGGAAGATAGGCTTAGTCACCAAGAGAGCTATTGCTCAATGTGACTGAGATGGAGCTTAAAAAGAGACATTTATTTTTATTTATTTATTTAAAAAAATTATATATTTATACAAGCACTGGGTACAGTCAGAAGCGTGGGGAGGGTGAGAGAATTCACCAGAGCCAGAGCGGGGAGCAGAACAGGCAGAAGGATCGAAGTACACTGCTGAGGGGAGCAGCGGGTGGCAGGAGAGGTCTGCGCGCCATGTGGGACCCTCCTCCAGTGGCCGGGGAGCAGCCAGGGATCGAACCAGAGCTGCAGAGGCTGCAGGCAGCTTCGCAACCCAGTGCTCAACCGCTGAGCCACTGGGGAGGCCCGAGACATTTATTTTTAAAGGAAAGAGCACTGTCAAAATAATAGTCCCTATATTTAATCTCTGGATTATAATACATAACACTGTTAGAGTGACCTATAGAGAAGATTGTTACCATCGAGAAAATATAAAATGAAGATGTAGTGCTGGCTGGTAAGAGTTCAATAATAGTCCAGCATCTCTGTGATCATGGCAATTATATTATTAAACGAAAGTTGGAAAACATGTCTAACTGGCGGTAAATGACTTGATGTAGTTAATTTTCTTCTCCAGCGCTTACTATTTAAAAATATAATAGGGCCTCCCCTGGTGGTGCAGGCGGTTGAGCGCAGTGCTGTGAGGCTGTCCGCAGCCTATGCAGCACCAGTTCGATTCCAGCTGGCCGTTGAGGGTCCCACATGGCGTGGCAGACCTCTCCTGTCTCGCGCGCTACTCCCCTCAGCAGTGTATTTCGTCAATATGCCTGTTCTGTTCCCCACTCTGTCTCTGGTGAATCCTTTCATCCTCCCGCGCTTCTGGCCTGTACCCCAGTTTTTGTATAAATAAATAATCTTTAAATAAAATAAAAGTATAATACTGTGCACTCAGAGAGAAGGAATCTCAATATTGTCTTGCTTATCCCTAGGAGCCATAGAACAAAATACCTAAATGCTTGTGTTTTGTTTTGCTTTCCTACTAAATTATCTGCTTAGATACAAGGATTCTAGTTTTTCCTGCTTTAAGATTTTCATCCTACTATTGAAGTAAAACACAAAAATTCTTTTGAATTGCAGAAAATGTCTATTGGGGTTGGAGTGGTGAGAGGTGTTAAGGGAAATATTTTCTCTGCTTTCTAAATGTTTTTAAGATTATGTTGTGGAAGCTATAGAATTGAGATTTAGTAATTAACATCTCTGAAATGTAATACTGTTTTTAAAATCTTTCTTTATATAGGTGGTTTTGATGATAATTCTCCTCTGAGTTCAGTTGAGCGATACGACCCTCGAAGCAACAAGTGGGATTATGTGGCAGCACTTACCACTCCCAGGGGTGGAGTGGGGATTGCAACAGTGATGGGCAAAATCTTTGCAGTTGGTGGTCACAATGGCAACGCATACTTAAATACAGTAGAAGCATTTGATCCAGTACTGAATAGGTAATTTTCTGTTTTCTCTGTGTTTTAATGGAGTATTTCAGTAACAGATTACTTCAGAATGCTAAAATGCTGCTAAATGTGGTTGTTAACATAAAACCTTTGGGATATTTTATCTCCCTCAGGAAGCTTGCTGTCTTTCAAAATCAATCCCATAACATTTTTTCTCTTTTCAGGTGGGAACTTGTTGGATCTGTGTCTCACTGTAGAGCTGGAGCAGGTGTAGCCGTGTGTGCCTGTTTAACTAGCCAAATTCGAGATGTAGGTCATGGATCCAATAATGTGGTTGATTGTATGTGATTTGAATTCCAACCATCAACTATTATTTAGTCATAACTGAAGACAAGAAAGACAACCAGAACTTTGTGTGACTACCTTTAAACAGTTCAAACTGCTACTAAGGTCTTATTTAAATGTAAACTGTTGTAACTAAATGCAATTTCTGCATTGGTAGTTGAAGAATTACAAAGTTCAATTTGATACTTTCCATTTTAGTAAATAATTGGAGTAGGGAAGGAAGAGAGTCTAACCTGAAAGCATACCTTCTCTGGAAAATTTTTAAAGTAGTGCCAAAACCTTGTAATGCCTTGGATTGATCAAAATGTAAAGCCAGGTCATTTCACTGAGTTTTACCTTTTCTTTTGCCTAAAGATGTTACCCTGAAGCAGATTTTTCATAGAGGGTAGATTAGAACCTGTTCACCAACACAATACTGGGACATATAAGAGACCTTTTGAAGATCATTTCTACTTGGTGCTGATGAATTTATACCCTGCTGTTTTTCTAGGCGTTGGTTTTTCAATTTCTTGGATATTTACAGAGATAGAAAAAATGTTTCATCTTTCTGAGTACCACTTGGTTACATTTTCAGACTCTTGTAGGAGTGCTGTAAGAAGACTTTAATTTCTGTTTGAATTATTAGGTCATCTAAAAACCTAGCTGAAAAAAAAAAAAAACCTAGCTGAACTAATTCTATATGAATTAATTAACACTTATTTTTTCATCTCATGTACAAAGGATGTGTTTTGTAGTAAGCAAAAATTGAATCAGAGGAAATATTAGAGGAGAAAGCTTTAGAGTAGATGTTGTTCTCCTGTCCGGTGGAAAGACTTTGAGAAGGGATGGTGCTATGACTCCCTAATAAGGGCATCAGAAAACATGTTTAGTGTTTGTCTTTGATTTAATCATTTGACTTAGAACCCAATTTTCTTTTTTTAAATTTTGCTGCTTGCCATCTTCTTGGTTTTACAAATTGTACAGAATCTGGACTTACTATCAGAAAATGAATGCTTTGGGCCTCCCTGGTGGCGCAGCGGGTTGAGTGCAGCACTGTGAAGCTGTCCACAGCCTCTGCAGCGCGGGTTTGATTCTTAGCCGGCCAGGGAGATTCCCACATGGTGTGGCAGACCTCTCCTGTCACTCCCGCTGCTCCTCTCAGCAGTGTTTTCAGTCATCTGCCTGTTCTGCTCCCTGATCTGTCTCTGGTGAGTCCTCTCACCCTCCCTCGCCTCTGGCCTATACCCTAGCTCTTGTATAAAAATAAATAAATCTTTGAAGAAAAAAAAAAGAAAATGGATGCATTAAAAAAACACCTTTATAGACTGCAGTTTACTTACTAGTTCAAGTCTGTCATTACCAATAAAAGAAATTGTTGTTACAATTATTATATTTAATCCCCTTCAATATATTTATTAAACTTTAATTGAAAATATTTCAACATATTAATTTGAAGCCAGGATATTGATATACCACTGAATTAACAGTTCTTCATAATTTAAACTAGCATTATAAATAACCTATTTATGTATATTTTTATATATATTAAGAACATTAAAGCATTCTATTTTGTATTTGCAATGCATCTTGGTATTTTTCTTTCAGGCCTTCCTAAATTTTCCTTTAGTCATGCCTTAGATTTAGTGCAGTTCACTGCTGGTCAGTCCTGTGGGTCGCAGCGAAGCTGGGGCAATGAAGAACACTGCCGCTATCCAGCTAGCCCTGAAGTTTATTACCTAGTATCTGTGATGTGTCTCACCACATGGCAGCATGGGCTTGTCAGTACAATAGGGACAAAAGCCCCATTACAAATCAGTGCTTGTTCGGGTTTATGAGACCCAAAAAAAGAAAGAAATTGTAAGGGCTCAGGCTAGCAGATAAAAGTTTTTCATTGAGCACATTTAAAAGTTCCCAAATTATGCAATTTTTTGTCATCAGCCATTGCTGCATATGAGCTGGTGTTCTCTTACATAACTGTAACCATACTTTAGTCAATCCCAAAATCATTTAATTCTATACCTCTGACTGGACTGGTTACAGCTGGCTGAATGTGGAAAATAGGTCTCAGAATCTGACTTCAGTTATCTATTTCTCATATTTAATAGAGTTCTTGTATTATAATGTTTGTCTTCCTATGGTTAGTAGTATGTTTGATATATTTTTGTGGCGGAGGATATCTTGGTCTCATTGTTTCTAAGATTATTTAAAATGTCTTTTTTTAAAAAACATTGCTGCCTTTGTTGTATATATAGAGCTTAGGGGCATAAAGATCTTACATTTCCATTTCTGATTTTTATTATGCAGTAGTCGTACTAAGTTGGTACTCTCAGTACCCACAAAATGTGAACTCAAATGGGAAATAAAGTAAAGAGGACATGTGACTATTTTTGTTAGTTGATGCACAACCAGTCAGAAGCATAGCCTTGAATGACCTGACAAAGGTATGAAAAAATAAATGGTGCAGTCAATATGCATAGTTTACTGAAAACACATTCTTGAGATATGAAATGAGAACCAGACTAAAAGAATCATGCTGTTGAGAGATGGTACTCCTAGAAAGAGGGAATTTTTAGAGAAGATGGCCACTTAGCTCTGAGGCCTGTAACCTACCAAAAAGTGATATAAAATGCAGCTAAAATTTTGAAGTTAATAGAAAAAAAGTTAAAATTTGCATATTGCTAGAGCTATTTCTAGGTATTTTGTATGGTTCTTCCCTGTAGTCATTAGCCACTGCTTTACTATATTGCACTGTCACTTTAAAAACAAATTGCTTGATTTTATTTTTAACTAATTTTGCTATGTTCTGTGTAACTATTTTTTGTTTGAATAAACTTCATACTGTTTCGAATGAGTATTCTCTTATTTCTCAAATTTTGAACTGACAATGCTGTTAAACGCTTAAAGATTGTTGAAACTGTATAAACTACTCTTACAAATGTAAACTTGATAATTTTTTTCCTGTCTTGTGTGATAATGTACTTAGAATTGAATTCGTCTTACAATTAAGAATGTTTGTTGTGGTTTTACATATGAGACTTTTAAAGAAGTTCCTACTGAGATGTCATTGACTCTTTTTCCCCTTTATGTGGAGTTACAAGTGGCAATAAACTTCCCTATTTTTCTTAAAACTGTATGAAAACTATAAGTATTGTAACACTCCAACAAATTAAAGCAATAAATTATCTCATACACCAAATACTAAAATCAGAGTTGGGTTCACATCAGTGCTATTTATTGATTTCAAAATATATTGCAAGTATCTATTGAAAGGTCGATGCAGGAGGCCAGAATGCAAAAGCCCGCCAGGAAACCCACCTGGGGGCAGGAATGCAGAAGCCTGCCTAGAGAATTCAGACAAAGAACCTCCCCCTGCCCTACAAACCTTTTCCCCGCCTTATGAACCCAGTTTCCCACCTGACCTCTCCTTACCCTATAAAAGCCTGCCTCCCCCGACAACGTGCGCAACTTCACCGACCCCCACCTTGGGTCCATGAGGTCCGCCCGGGGCGCAATAAATTTTCCCTTTCTTTGAGAAATTTAGCCTGGCTCTCCTTTTCTTTACCGCGCCAAACCTTTCATATATTATGAATAGGACGTTCTCTAAGATCTGTGTAACTTTGCTTCTCATTGTTTTTGTATAATCCTATCAAAACTTTGTTCTCCAGGACTCAAATGCAGAATTAGTAGGTTGGCTGTCATTTTTTTTTCTCCTGTTACAGAGGATCTGTTGTAGGACAGGGAGAGGGGCAGCCCAAGCCCCGCAAACCTGCCTATTCTAAATGGGTTCTGCCATCCGCCGCATCAACACAAAACATATGAGACTTTAATGGGAAGGATCTTTAATAAAACTAGGAAACAATACAGGTAAGGCAAAGAGTCTAGTTTCTAAATGAAGCACCCAAAGTTACCCATCCCCTCGTGGGTAAAAGTCCATCCATATGGGATTGGCCCAGAGCAAGGCCCCAAAGCCTGCCACAAGTCTAAAGCATCTTCCAGTGGGGACCCACAGAAAAGGGCCAGAAACAACCGGACAAGCCCGGAAGGAAAAGAGCAAAATCAACATCAAGATAAAAGCTGCCATTGTCACCTCCCCATGGGTCTCACCCACATCTGTGTCACCCAGTCCACGACCAAAAGACAAGCGCAGTTTCTTCACGTGTCTCTAGGCTCCATGCGCCTCCTCCAGGTCTCCTTCTGGCTCCATCCTCCTTCCTTCCTTAGTCTCTTCTGCAGCTTCTCCTCTCCCTGCTCAGCTCCACCCTCCCTTGGGTGGGGCAGGGAACCTCCCCCTTTCCTGGGGACCACCCTGTTGCAGATCTTCATGTTTAACTGAAAATAAATTTTTGTGACCCTTCCAGAAATTAAAGGTTAAAAGCAACCGATGTAGTTTTGTTAGGGGGAAAAAGATGTCCCAAAGCTAATTCCATATAGGCTTTGTGGACTCCACCCCCACCCTAGGTCAAAGTTAAAGACACTGGGAACTCCAAATCCCATCACCACCAAAGGGAAGGTGGCTGGGACCTGAGGGTGGGGTTAAGCAGCCAGGTGGATACAAAAGGCAGACACGTGGGCTTTGGAGGATCCCCCATTTTTGGCTCTCCACCAGCTCGCAGCGTCCGGCCAGCTCTGAGAGTGACTTTGGGTTTCCAGGTGGTCGGATCGGGTAGGACGCATTAAAGACTTTATTTCCCTATTTTCTCCCTGAGATGTACATTTTCCTTATTTCCTTTTCTCTTGTAAATAAACCTTTTATTAACCTTTTGTGTGTGTCTGTAGTGGAGTATTCATAAGTCCCTTTAAAGCGCGTGGGTGAGGACCCACAGCCAGGAACCCCTTTAATATCGGGGCTGCTCTATAACAGTTTCACTAATCATAGCGACTGATTAGGCAGTTCTCTTCAGCAATTACGAATTTATGCTGTAGAGAACTGAGATTATTTATGAGTTCAGTTGAATGTTGTCCTGATGAAGGACAAGAATAGAAAAGCTAGAAAGGAGACCTCACACGACTAAAACCTGACTCACACAAGGAGGTGGGGGTTGAGGGAAATAACATGACCATTAACCCAGCTGTAGAGGTCGTGACCCTCAGGCACCAGGGCCTTATCACAAGGCATGAGACCCAAGCAGGATCAGATGCTCTAGGGAGTGGAGCACAGGCCTAAGGGTGAAGATACAGAGATTGGGCCCACCCTGGAATCTCTGATCCCTTTGCAGTTTTGCCTGTTACCCAACATCGGCAACAGGCAGCCACTCCACGGAGGAGTGACCCCTCCCAAAGAGAAAAGGACTGTATCAGTGCAGTCTCTGCACAGGCTCGGAGCAGTACTCCCACTGCCCACCATGACTATGCAGGTGCCTCTTCACCAGCTCTCTCTCTTTGCAGGGCAGCAGCTTTCTGGCTGCCCATGACCTGTACCATGCCGGGGCTTCTCACTGACCTCCCTTAGCGGAGGCCTCAAGGCTGCCTGCCTGCAACCATGCAGGCCTTTCTTAGCAAACCTGTCCCTAACCCTTTCCCTAATAAGCCTGTTCTTTAAATATAACCAATGTCTCAGTCTAGTGGAGAAACCCACCTGGGGATCTCACCGTGTGCTGCTGAACCAGGAGCTCTGGTGAAATCTTTCCCAGAGTGAACCCAAGGACCCCACAACTCCACAAAATGACATCACTTCTAAGTAGTAATCTCATGAGGCTATCAGTTTTGTTTTTTTAAGCAGTGTTACTGTTAGGGGGAAAGGATGTCCTGAGATAATCTCATACAGGCTTTGTGGACTCCACCCCCACTCCAGACTAAAGCCATCAGGTTTTTTTTTTTTTTTTTAAATAAAAAAAAAAAAAAAGAAAAACCTGATGACTAAGAAAAACCTGATGGCTTTAGTCTGGAGTGGGGGTGGAGTCCACAAAGCCTGTATGAGATTATCTCAGGACATCCTTTCCCCCTAACATTACCATTACTAAAAAGCTTTGATGAGAACTTCCCTGCTGGCACAGGGGTTAAAGACAGCACTATCAAGCTAGCGCCAGCCCCTGCAGAACGAGTTTCATCCCCACATGGCACAGCAGACCTCTCCTCCCGTCTCTCAGCTACACCCCTCAGCAGTGTATTTCAGTAGATCTGCCTGTTCTGCTCCCCACTCTGTCTCTGGTGATTCCTCTCACCCCCACTCCCCTGCATCTCTGACCTACACCCCAGTTCTTGTAAATAAATGAATGAATGAATAAATAAATCTTAAGAAAAAAATTTAATTTTTACTAAAAAACTTTGAAGCTCCTCTTTTGAAAATAAGTTAAAGATTCCATTTGTAAGTCATTCAAGAAAATGTCTTATTGTAGTCATGAATCAATTTTGACAGAATCTTAAATGGCTGTGCATACTTTATTCATCAGACCTGATTCAAAATATTTTATGTCTGTCTTCACAAGGGAAATCTACCCTCAAAAGACTAAGATTTCCCTCCATTGGAAAAAAGTTTTTCAAAAGAAAACTGTTTCAATGGAGCATTCCTAAAATCAACCAAGCAGTAATAACATAAGTGAAAGAAATACAAAGCTATTTTGAAACATGATTTGAATGCAAAACATCTGGTGGTTTTTGTTGTTTTAACAAGTCATTCTCCCACTTTTTTTTTTTTTTATAGAGGCATGTTTTTATTTATTTGTTTGTTTGTTTTGTTTATACAAGCACTGGGTACAGTCAGAAGTGCGGGAGGGTGAGAGAATTCACCAGAGCCAGAGCGGGGAGCAGAGCAGGTAGAAGGACCGAAGTACACTGCTGAGGGGAGCAGAGGGCGGCAGGAGAGGTCTGCGCGCCATGTGGGACCCTCCTCGGTGGGGAGCAGAGCAGGCAGAAGGACCGAGGTACACTGCTGAGGGGAGCAGAGGGCGGCAGGAGAGGTCTGCGCGCCATGTGGGACCCTCCTCCGGTGGCCGGGGAGCAGCCGGGGATCGAACCGGCGCCACAGAGGCCGCGGGCAGCTTCGCAACCCAGCGCTCAACCGCTGCGCCACCGGGGAGGCCCCATTCTCCCACTTTCTTAATGGTTGTGGCTCATTTCAGTCTACCTTGACAAAGTATAAATATTCGGAGTTTAAGTTTGCATGGGGGAGATTTAATAATTACGGACTTTTAATGTATAGTTTGTAGTCACTTTACAATATTTTAATAAACAGTACTGCATTTAAAAATTAGATTAAAAGACATTCAGTAACTTGCCTAAGATCCACAACTAATCAGTGTTTTTTGTGACTGAAAAATTGCACTGTTTCACCTAACAACTTGTAGCTATGCTTTCACAAGGTAGTATGCGTACATTTAAGGAAAGATGATTTTCTTGCTCCTACTCCTAGCAGTATCAAAAAATATTTGTGGTCACTGCATTTCTTTTTTGGGTTACTTTGAGATAATTGAGAGTTTCAATTGTACAAAATAATGATTTACTATATTGTGAATTGATCACTAAATCTAGTTAACTTCCAACATATGATTACATGTTTTTCTTGCAGTGAGAACTTTTAAGATCTACAGTTTCAAATACATAGTACAGTATTTGAAACTTTCAAATACATAGTACAGTATTAACTATAATCATGCTGTACATTCCAGCCCCAAGATTTATTTTATACAACTGAAATTTCATACCTCATCCATTTCTCCTGTTATAGGGCAGGGAGAGGGGCAGCCCAAACCCCGCAAACCTGCCTATTCTACATGGGTTCTGCCATCCGCCGCATCAACACAAAACATATGAGACTTTAATGGGAAGGAACTTTAATAAAACTAGGAAACAATACAGGTAAGGCAAAGAGTCTAGTTTCTAAATGAAGCACCCAAAGTTACCCATCCCCTCGTGGGTAAAAGTCCATCCATATGGGATTGGCCCAGAGCAAGGCCCCAAAGCCTGCCACAAGTCTAAAGCATCTTCCAGTGGGGACCCACAGAAAAGGGCCAGAAACAACCGGACAAGCCCGGAAGGAAAAGAGCAAAATCAACATCAAGATAAAAGCTGCCATGGTCACCTCCCCACGGGTCTCACCCACATCTGTGTCACCCAGTCCACGACCAAAAGACAAGCGCAGTTTCTTCACGTGTCTCTAGGCTCCATGCGACTCCTCCAGGTCTCCTGGCTCCATCCTGCTTCCTTCCTCAGTCTCTTCCTGCAGCTTCTTCTCTTCCTGCTCAGCTCCACCCTCCCTTGGGTGGGGCAGGGAACCTGGAACTTCCCCCTTTCCTGGGGACCACCCTGTTACACTCCCTCTCCCTACACCTACCTCTGCAAGCATTGCTCATTGTAATATTTGATACATGTATAAAGGATATGGAACGCAGAAGAAACAATACATCTCTGTACCACCTCCTAATTAGAGCATTGCACATGGTGGTATTGACTCTACCTTTGTGTTTCTTCTAAATTCCAATCCCTCCTCTACTCTACTCTTAGTGGTAACTACTGCCCTGAATCAATCATTCCTTTGGTGTTTTCCTCTTGTTTTTATACATCTATTCCCTAATCCATGTATTTTCTACTTTGCTTGGTGAACTTTATAAAAAATAGTATACTGTGTATAACTTGAGTAATTTGATCTCATTTCAACAAATCTTGTTTTTAT